GAAATATTAAATTACTATATATGTGCCACAGTGAGGTTTATATCTTTATTAGGTATGTGTGTTTTTGAAGGGATGCCAAATGCTATCATTTTTTCTGTAAAGCAAATTTACCTTGCCTATGGGTATAAATAAAGTTACCTTGACCTTGACATATAAGACTAACAATGCACAAGCATCTATCTAACACCTGTTTATTTAATCTATCATCTGTGATATTATTATGTAATTGTTCATTATAATGTATTGTTCGTTTCCCTTAAATAAACAGGCAGCCTTAAAGTATGAAATATTCATATATGAAAACACATATAAATTTGTATATTGTCTCAGTTGGTAATAGTGTCCCACAGGCCTCAATGTGAGTTTAAAGCCATTTCTAATGTTTAAGGTGTGCTCACGAGAACAGATTTTGAGGGAAAGTCAGGGAACCTCAGTAGCACAAAAAAGTGGCTGTTCTTTGTGCCCATATGGATCAGTCCCTCATATTACCATTATTATCGCCCCTAAGGTGTTGCCAAATGAACCAAGATAATATTTGAAAAAGCTGCAGAAATTCACAAAAATATAAACTTTTAATTTTACTTGGTAACAACTTCGCTTTTAGCCTTTAATCAGAAAGCCTTAAGTTGGGTAGTTATATATAACAGTAACTCACATTACTGCTACTGCTATGTAATGTTATTTTGCAGCATATTTCATAAATTACCATACCATAACTAACTGCTTTACTAGCGTTGCAATATTGCATCACGCGCAATGCATTTCAATAGTTTATCCTGCGAGTTTGCTAGCTAGCAAAAAAGTAGTAATAATTATAAAAATTAGCATGTGTAACGTACACATAGTTGAAAATTATTTACTAGAACTTAAGCAAACTCCCCCATTCTGAAAAGGTACAAATCATTTTGCAGACCTTTCAGGTGAATTTGGTCATTGTCTTATCCAAGATTTGTATTTGTCCTTTTCCAGCAAACGCTCATTAAAACTGCAACCTCCAGGCTTGTTCTTGCACTCATTCCTGACTGTTCGGGGCGGGTGTCACACACTGAAACAGACATGCAGAGGTGCAAGGCAGCCCAGGTGGAGAAATGTTGTTTTTAGAATTTGCGACTCATTTTATTTCTCTATCTGATAAAAAACAAACAAACGAACAAAAAACTATTCAATCAGACAGTCATTTGTTGTGAATGAAATAGAGTTACAGTTTCAAGCAGTTTTAAGCACCACATCTGAAATTCAAGCACTTTTCAAACCTTGAAAAGACAATATTAAAATCCAAGTATTTTCAATGATTTCAAACACCCATACAAACCCTTGATATTACATCATAGAAAAAATATAACAAATAAAGGCAAAATCAGTTAAACAGTATTTTACTGGATATCATTTAATGTAGCAGTGGTTGAAATAAAATACCCCCCCCAAATCCACAGTCCAGCATAGAGCGGCTCAGTGAATGTCGTCTGGACTCTGTGTAGCAGGGCCATGGTGTCAGAGACGCTGTAGAAGCACAGAATACCTGCTCTGGGATTCAGATAGACTCCAATTTTAGAGGAAGAAGGACCTAAGAGGCGAGTTGTCGTGTTGTTGTGTCTGAATTTATAACTGTCCTTGTAACAATCTAATGCCCAAGAATTATTATTGCTTCCAAATGCAGTTTGATCCAGTTTATTCTCATTCTTATATGTTACGGCTACTGAAAGTCCTTTCCCTTTCCACTCCACTTCCCAGTAACAAGGTCCAGTCAGACTCTCTTTACTCAGGACCTGCTGCTCAATGGAAAACCTGTCTCTGTTCTTAAGACAGGAATTATCTGGATCTTGAAGCATGTCTGTAACTGTTCTGTTCTGATTAGACAGGAAGAGTTTTCTGTGAACTATATCTGGATCCAGCGTGAGTTGACATGAATGTTTTAAAAAGTCATCTCTGGTCTTAGGATCACTTTGTGGCAGCAAAACATCCACTGATCTCACTGTCAGAGTGATCTTCCACAGTTCATCACACAGAAATGCTTTGAGTTTATCTCTAGCTTCTGATATCACCATTTGAAGACTCTCAAAGTACTTAACCTGACAGATTTTAAAGCTTGGTGAATCTGTAGAGTCAATGAATACGGGCATTGTGGAGTAACTTAGTAGAAATTCGGTGTGGTCCTCTGTGCGTGAAAGCTGCTTCAGCTCCTCTTCTTTCCTCCTCAGCTCAGCGATCTCCTGCTCCAGCTTCTTCTGAAGCTCTTCGACTCGACTCGTTTCATCTTTCTGCTGGGATCTGATCTGCTGCTTTAAATTTGAGGCGTTTTCTTTGATGAAACTCACCAGCTCATCAACAGTCATCTCAATGTCCTTCACTGCTGTATCAGCAGACAGTTTGATCCCCTCTATCTCTTTCTCAAGTACTCCTTCTTCCTTCTTTCTGTTCTGGATTCTCCGCTGGACTTCTTTCAGAATTACCTCCAGGTCTTTCTCTTTGTCTGCCCTTTCTTTTTCAACTGGAACTGTTTCATGTCCTCTATGTTTATTTATCCAGCAGAGACAACAGACACACATTTGATCAGTGCGGCAAAACATCTTCATCACCTCATTGTGAACTGAACAGGTGTTTGCTTTCAACACCTTGTCTACCAGCTTGTGCTTTTCAAAAGCAGGGGAATCATGGATAGGCTGGAGGTATTTCATTTTCTCTACCAACTCTGCTAACATGGTGTTTTTCACCAGAATAGGCCTCGGTGTGAAAGCCTGTCTGCACTGAGGACAGCTGTGGATTCCTTTTACGTTCTCTGCTTTCCAGTAGGTTTCAATACAGCTCATACAGTAGTTGTGTCCACAGGGAATAGTCACCGGATCCTTGAGTAGATCCAGACAGACAGCACAGCAGAATTGTCTGTCTTCCATCTTCTTTCCTTGTTGTGCAATTATGTGTGCAGAGGTGAATGCCAAAACTGTTTCACTGTCAGTGAAGAAGTGTGTATCAGGTTAGTCTTCATTTCAGAAAAAGGTGTAGTTTGTGAAACTCGTACCTACCAGTCTTAATAAATCTTTTTATCGTTGAGCAGCAAGAACGTAAAGTGAACTGTGGGAACAGGTAAGCTTTTAATGTAGATTTCTGTATTAAGAAATATTTACGAACATGAAAATAATAGACGCCACAATGAAGAGTGCAACAAGCTGTTACAGTTACTGCAGGAAATACTAAAAGCAAATCCCAGTCACAAGAGCACCAAGACATATTGTGCAAAGTAGAATGAGCAAATGTAACAGAGGTAAAGCTGCAGCTTACTGGAAATCTAAACCCAAAACAGCACAAGTATACTTGAGGAACAAGTACAGGGAATATGTCTCCTACTTTACCTTTTTTGGAATTACTTTGGTTGATATATGGTGTCTCCTTTAAAGTAGTGGAGCAAGAGATAGTCAGCTATGCAGTCAGATTCAGACAGAGAGGATGGTTGCTTTTCCTAAAGATGACATACACTGAGTCAGTGACGTGTTTCATTAACACAAAAACAAAGAAAGAAGTTGAAAAGATCTCGAGTGCACCACAGCACCACAATTAAACAAACTAGACTTTGTTCCGAAGCCTCTCTTACCTGCCGGCATGAGTCCACTCACCGTCCCAGACAAAGAGAACTTGTCTTTACACTTCACACTTCTTATATAAGGAGGAACAACATTCCTCCGCCCAGATTCCAACTGTCACTTGAAACGTGTCATCTTCACCACCAGTTTGGCAGAAAATGTTGCAGAGCAGCTCATGAAGAATAACAACATAGTTTTTAAGGGTAGTTGGCGCAGGTGAAATTTAATACCTCCACGGGTACGTCATCTGTACCAACTGCCTTTTCGGTCTTTATATATTTGGCAGTATTTACATATGGTTATATATTCGCCATGAGGACTAAGGTGGGGGTTGTCCTGTTAATATACACTCATCAGGCACTTTATTAGGCATACCTTGGTAGTACTTGATTTTTACCCCGTTTTGTCTTCAGAGCTGTCTTTATTCTTCATGCCATAGATTCAAGCTGTTTGGAGTTTTTGGTCATATTGACATGATAACATTAGACAGTGGCTGAATATTTGACGCCTGCATTTATGTTGTCAGTCTGCTGTTCTACCACTTCCCAAAGGTGCTCTGTTAGATTGAGATCTGGTGACTGTGAAGGCTATTTGAGTACAGTGAACTCATCGTCATGTTCAAGAAACCAGCCCAAAGTGTGCCAAGAAAATATCCACCATCCTGAACTGTTGATGCAGGACAGGATGGATCCATGGTTCCATGTGGTTTACACAGGAATTATGACTCTACCATCTGAATTCTACAAGAGGAATTCTCAATGACTAATCAGACCAGGCGACAATCTCCTCCAGTCTTCTTTTGTTTAACTGTGGTGAGTAAAATCCATCTTTTTCCAAATGACTGTCAAAGATCAAGCCTCTTCTGTCCAAACACAACCTTAATACAGGCTTTTATAACCTCTTGTCTTGATTACTGCATGATTACTGCAATGCAATGCACTCTTTATCAGAATCAGGAAGGCCTCCATTGCTCGCCTACAGCTGATGCAAAACGTGACTGTCCAATTTTCATCTGGAAAGCAAAAGTACATCACTCCAATTTTAGCTTTGCTTCATTGGCTTCCAGTTCGTTTATCAATCCATTTTAAAATCCCTTTATTTGTCCTTAATAATTGTGCCCCATTTTATTTGTCTGAGCTGTTGCACCCATATGTGCCACCTTGTTCTCTCAGGCCAGTGGTATGGTAAATATATATATATGTACATACAATCCAATTTATTTACTTTACTGTCACTTGGCACTGACATCACAAACAGAAGGAGAAGTGAGGACTTGTAGATTGTAACTGCCAGCCGATCCCTTATTTTCTTTTACTTTTAAATCTAAATGATCCAAATTGGTGACTTATAAAGAAGTCACCCACTGTTCTTTCTTAGTCATAGTCATTTATGAAGGCAACACTTTGGACATAGTATTTATTTCAGTCTTAAAAGTTTATAACAACTTCCGGATAACATAAAATGGAAACAAAACAACAAAAAGAAAAAAAAATGCACTTTTTTTTTTCATCGCACCCCAGGCTGACACAATTAGAATTCATAAAAGCAGATTTGAAAAAAAAACAAACACACAAAACAAACAAACAATAAAGATCACAGGGAAATATTTCACCCTCCCCCAAACAGCTCGCATAGCTTTACAGTACATCAGGAATCTGTACGCTCAGACCTGTGTTACCACACCATGAAGCCTGAACACTTTATCCAATTTGGGATAGAAATTCAAGCCAGTAAAAGTGGATTTGAAAGTGTTGGGAACAAAGGCAGCCCCTTCAAACTACATCAGGATCTTTTTATAGAAAATTCCCAGCACCTGGAAATGTAAGAAACACAAAAAATGTCCCTGTTTTCTAATCAAATAATGAAGAATTTATCTGAATTTTATTTTCTCCGTTTCCCGTGTTGATATTCGTAACAATTTCCAATCATTCAACTAGCTAAAAGCAAATCCCCTTTATTTCAATGGAACAATACAAAAGGTTGAAGCATTGGCATTGTTAATATCACATAAGACTGTTATAGTTTCATGAAAATGGCTGTTTGCGTTCAGTAGTAAGCTTTATTTTTTCATGAAATGTAATGTATGACCGTTTCGTGGTTAAAAACAACAAACAAGCTCTCCACAGCCGAATAAAGTTTATATACTTTTTAATCCTCTTTTTTCAAATATATATTTATTATATATAAAATACTGTTTCATTCATAAAAGCCTTACTTTGTACAATATCTGAGTCAACGTGCGTTAAGTGAATGTGTGAGCTAAGAAGAACCTGGAAAATCGCCGTGCATAACAAACAGCTGGTAGTGATTCGAGCTAATACACTAAAAACAAAAGTGTTTTACACAATATACACATTGTATTACTTACAAAAACAAAAAAATAAGCAAAAGAAGGCGATATGGTTAGCAAAGAGTGGGGGACAGCAGGGTTATCACTACGAAATGTAACGTAAAACAGAAAAAATAAGAGCGAGAAAGAAAGGGTGATTGGTAATTTTTTTTAAAAAAGCAGTCATTCTCACTACAGAAAGCTCATCGTCAGTGCATCTGTCATCATGGATGTTCCGAAGTCAAAGTGCCGATTTGGTAACTGTGAAAACCATCAACTCCTTATCAAAAATAAAATAAAATAAAAAGTTACTCTGTCACATTTTTGCTGCACCAACGTGTCAAACGTAATTTTTGGGGGGAAAAAGGGGGAAAGGGAACAAAGATCCTTCTGGGAAAGAAGGGAAAAGAAAGAAAAATGCAGTTTTGTTGTCACACATCCATCGTGGCACCATGAATTGAATATATTCTGCTTTCATTTTGAGGTACTTCTTAAGACAAACAAAGACTAAATGTAAGATTTGTTTACGTCAGTTTTTTTCTTTTTTTTGTCTTTTTCTTTTTTTTTTAAGCTGTGTTGCACAGTAGCACCGTTGTTTTAGTTGTAGTTTGTTTTTCCGGAAGACAATGCACCATTGGAATTCCAACTCATCGTGACTGCCCCCACCCGCTGCCACACTTGTCTACTGTACGTCCAATCGTCTCTCGTCATCGATGGGCGTCTCTCCACCTCCTGGCAGTGGTGTGTTTGCTTGGTGGCATGCATGCCGTTACGTGCGCTTCATGCAGACTGCACAGCGGCTCACACGTGTCCGTAGGCTACCTGCCTTGTAGGTCTCAGACTGGGGCTTTCTGTAAGAGCCATAAGTATTAAGATGGTTAAGAGAGGGTTGATTTTAACGTGGGTCATGTAAGTACTGCATTATACACATTCATATATACATTCATTATACACATTATTAGGTACACATGTTCAGCTGCTCATTACTGCAAATATTTATTCAACAGCAACTAAAATTAGGGAAATAAACATGGCAAAGAGTCGCAAAGAATTTCAAATTGAGCAAAACGGGGAAGAAATGTGATTTAAGCAACTTTGAACATAGCATGGTTGCTGGAGTCAAATGATCTGGTTCTAGAGTTTTAGAGACAGGTGAACTACTGAGATTTTCCTGCAAAACTCTAGTTTTTACAGAGAATGCTCTGAAAAAGGAAATATCTATTGAGCGTTCCTATCAGCTCAAACCCGTCTGGTTTTAAGCTGATAATAAGGCAAAGTTAACTCAAATAACAACTCATTGCATCCAAAGTTTGCAGAAGAACATCTCTGAATGAGCTCCAACGGCAGAAGACCACACCAGCCAGATGCCACTCGAGCCAGCTAAGAACAGGAAACTGAAGCTACAATTCACATAAGCTCACCAAATTATTCAACAGAAGACTGGAAACAATCTGCCTGTTCTAATGAGTCTTAATTTCTGCGTCACTATCCAGATTTTAGGGTCAGAAATTGGTGTAAATA